TAAACGACGAAAATCTCCCGTTTCACAGTTCTTAATTTAAAGAAAACACATCTGGCCAGGCTGTGCTTTTCTTTAGGATGATGGTGAATAGAACTGAAGTCAAAATGGAACAGACTTAAAATGGCGTTGCCTTGTTTCATATCTCTGAATTGTTGATAAGTTGTAGTAAAGTGGATTGGACACTTGAAGTCAACACCAGATTCTCCTGCGGCAGCCGAAAGCTCTGATTGGTTGGAACAATGTGTCATGCGTTTCTATGGAGATGAGGATCAGTATGTCTGTGCCGTAGTCCTGGTTTCATTAAACATAATTCATGACATATTTATTTCACAGATCATTCACTTGATTATTGTTGATCAACATCTGTTTTGCTTAATAATTTTAATCACAAATAAAGTACTTTGATTAAGTAAAGCTTCTTCTTCTCCTTCGGACTCTTCTCCTGGAATGTAAACAGTCTGAGGAACACCCGACCTTGGTTTTTCTACACGGTGTTATTGTGCCCAGGGGGCAGCTGTATGGAGTTGAAAACAATGAACTTCATAACCTTACACATTCATTCATACATTCATACGTCTATACATACATTCATACATCTATACATACATACACCTATTCATATTTTCATTCATCTATTCATACATTCATACATCTACACATACATTCATACATCTATACATACATTCCTTCATCTATACATACATTCATACATCTATACATACATACACCTATTCATACATTCATAAATCTATTCATACATTCATTCATCTATTCATACATTCATAAATCTATTCATACATTCATACATCTACACATACATTCATACATCTATACATACATTCCTTCATCTATACATACATTCATACATCTATACATACATACACCTATTCATACATTCATTCATCTATTCATACATTCATAAATCTATTCATACATTCATACATCTACACATACATTCATACATCTATACATACATTCCTTCATCTATACATACATTCATACATCTATACATACATACACCTATTCATACATTCATACATCTATTCATACATTCATACATCTATTCATACATTCATACATCTATACATACATACACCTATTCATACATTCATTCATCTATTCATACATTCAAAAATCTATTCATACATTCATACATCTACACATACATTCATACATCTATACATACATTCCTTCATCTATACATACATTCATACATCTATACATACATACACCTAGTCATACATTCATACATCTATTCATACATTCATACATCTATTCATACATTCATACATCTATACATACATACACCTATTCATACATTCATACATCTATTCATACATTCATACATCTATACATACATTCCTTCATCTATACATACATTCATAAATCTATTCATACATTCATACATCTACACATACATTCATACATCTATACATACATTCCTTCATCTATACATACATTCATACATCTATACATACATACACCTATTCATACATTCATTCATCTATTCATACATTCATAAATCTATTCATACATTCATACATCTACACATACATTCATACATCTATACATACATTCCTTCATCTATACATACATTCATACATCTATACATACATACACCTATTCATACATTCATACATCTATTCATACATTCATACATCTATTCATACATACATACACCTATTCATACATTCATTCATCTATTCATACATTCATAAATCTATTCATACATTCATACATCTACACATACATTCATACATCTATACATACATTCCTTCATCTATACATACATTCATACATCTATACATACATACACCTATTCATACATTCATTCATCTATTCATACATTCATAAATCTATTCATACATTCATACATCTACACATACATTCATACATCTATACATACATTCCTTCATCTATACATACATTCATACATCTATACATACATACACCTATTCATACATCTATTCATACATTCATACATCTATTCATACATTCATACATCTATACATACATACACCTATTCATACATTCATTCATCTATTCATACATTCATAAATCTATTCATACATTCATACATCTACACATACATTCATACATCTATACATACATTCCTTCATCTATACATACATTCATACATCTATACATACATACACCTATTCATACATTCATACATCTATTCATACATTCATACATCTATTCATACATTCATACATCTATACATACATACACCTATTCATACATTCATACATCTATTCATACATTCATACATATATTCATACATTCATACATCTATACATACATACATACATCAGTTCAGTTCAGTTCAGTTCACTTTATTTCAAACATATACTTTCACCAACATTTCGTAAAATCATTCCACGCAATTGTTTGAAAAGGAGTAGGGAGAAGTGTATACTTATTTAGCCCTACCCCCTCAGGTCTACATCCTCATCATCAAAATTTAAACAACAAAACAGTTACAATGCCTTCAAAAAAAAACACACAAAAAATAACAATAATACTAAATAAATAAAATTCTCATGTTCAACTAGAACTATATTTAGATTTTCTAATTTGTAGAAGAGATTAAACATCAGTTTGCATGCCGTCCTGGGTTAATTGCATTTTCTTCATTCTTATACTTATTTAACATTTCTTTTTTCAGTTTTATTTTAAACTGGTTTACAGTACTACTGTCCTTTATTTCTTCTGTTAACTCATTCCAGAATTTAACCCCCGCTATTGAAATAGACATCCTTTTCAATGTTGTTCTTACTCGTTGTACTTTTAAATTCCACTTCCCTCTAAAATTATACCTCCCTTCTTTTTCTAAGAACCATTTACTTATTTCAATTGGGAGCATCCCTTTCCTTACCTTATATATTATTTGCACTGTTTTAAACTTGACCAGGTCCTGGAATTTTAAAGCTTGCGTCTTAATAAAGAGTGTGTTTGTGTGAGCCCTATACCCCTCCTGATTTATTAGTCTAATAGCCCTTTTCTGCATTATGATTATGGTCTGAATATTACTTTTATATGTGTTTCCCCAAACTTCTACACAATAACTCATGTATGGTAATATGAATGCACAATATAACATATATAATGTTTGCCTATCCAGAAAATGTTTTACTTTCCCCGAGACAGCAATGCCCCGCGCTAACTTTCCCCTCACATAAGTGATGTGTGATTTCCAACAGGCCTTATGATCAATGATCACACCAAGACATTTTATGGTAGTAACCCTTTCTAAATATACGTTATCAACACAAATTTCAATGTTAATATCTTTCATATGGTTTCTGAATAACATAAATTTTGTTTTATTTAAATGTAAGGACAATTTGTTTCTATCAAACCACGTCTTTAATATCTTTAACTCCTGTGTGATCACCTCCACAACCTGTTGAAATTCCCCACTTGAACAAAGTATATTGGTATCATCTGCAAAAATTACAAACTTTAGGATCTTCGATACTTTACAAATATCATTTATATACATTATAAACAATTTTGGTCCCAATACTGATCCTTGAGGTACTCCACATTCAATATCCATCTATTTAGATTTAAACTCATTTATTTGTACATATTGCTGTCGATTCATCACATAGCTTTTTATCCAATCCAATACCACACCCCTAAACCCATATTTCTCCAGTTTGATTATAAAAATTTTGTGCTCAACAGTATCAAATGCTTTTTTTAGATCTAGAAAAACTCCAAGTGCATACTTCTTGTTATCCATACATTCAGTTATTTCTTCCATTAAATCCATCAATGCCAAAACTGTTGATCTGTTATTTCTAAACCCATACTGGCAATTTGCCAACAGATCATGTTTTTCCACAAAGTTATCAAGTCTTTTTAGAAATAGTTTTTCCAGTATTTTAGAAAACTGGCAGAGTACCGACACTGGTCTATAATTTGTAAAACAATGCTTCTCACCTGATTTATAAATGGGAATAATTTTTGCTACTTTCATTTTTTGTGGAAAAACCCCTTCCTGGAAAGACAAATTAAAAATATATTGTAGCGGTTTTACAATACCATCAATTACTCTCTTTACTGTTAACATATCAATATCATGGGAGTCAGTACTTGTTTTGTTCTTAAGTCCACTGACAATATCATACATCTCCTTCTCATCCACTGCTCTTAAAAACATTGAACTTGCATTCCTTTCAATGTGTCCTCCAGTCTCCCTTTCTATCACATCAACCTTTATTTCCTCGGCTAGTTTTGGCCCTATATGTACAAAAAAATCATTAAATCCATCTACTACTTCATTCATTTTACTAATAGTATTTGTCCCTTCCATAAAATACCCAGGGTAGTCATTAGTCCTTGGTGCATTTTTTATTATACTATTCAATACATTTCATATCCCTTTCATGCTATCTTTATTATCTTCTAACTTTTTGATGAAGTATTCTTTTTTACAAGTTCTCATTATGTTAGTTAATTTATTTTTATACTTTTTATATTTCTTTTCAGATTCTGTAGTTCTCTTTTTAGTGAATTCTCTACATAAGATGTTCTTTTTTTTACAGGCAGAAAAAAACATTCATTCATACATCCATAGAAACATCTATAAAAATGTCTATACATCTACTTTTGTTTACAGAGGCCTTCTTTGGACAGGCTGACCAAAGTAAAACTTTAGGCAGAACACACACACACACACACACACACACACACACACACACACACACACACACAACAGAAAAAAACCTTATAAAGGTCATTAAAAATAGTAATCACTCAAACAAATTGTGGTTATATATCTTTTTAACTGCATTAGCATTCATGCAACATGAACCACTTTTGGTAACAGACAATAGAACATTTGGGTTTCAGTGTAAAATCACAGACTATTGCAACAAGGGACACACACTCTCCCTGGGGTGCCACCTAACCGTGGTGAGGCAGGGTTTGAGTGTCTCAGTGGTCCTAGGAGCTACGTTTATTATTTATTGATTTGAAGGAAACCAGACAGAGATGCCTGTGCCAAACATGGTTGTAGTTTTTGATCCATTTGTAGTGCATACACTGTTTTTCATATACAGCACCATGCTTTTAGCTATGGAATGGCAGTACCTTAAATAATTTTGTTTTCATGAAGGGACCCAGGGGAGAGCGTGGAGCAGATGGTTTACCAGGCAAGCCTGGACCCAAGGTAACTATCACTTACCCAAAATAATTAATGCATCTCTAAATATATTTTTGGGTTAACCCTAATCCTGACGTTTTGATGGTTGCACGTCTCATCGGTAGGGTGATGAAGGGCCTCCTGGACCAAGAGGTCCTCCAGGGGAGAGAGTGAGTCAAGACCATGCTTTTTGTAGTTTTAGGAATATGTTATGTAGAAATAAAATCACATTTTATATCATTTCCCCCCAGGGAGAATCTGGTGCATCCGGACAACCAGGTGCTGATGGCATCAGAGGGGATAGGGGTGTTCCGGTAGGTTTGGGGACATTCCTCTGAGATTTGTATCAAGCAGCATCACAAATATGTCTCACTTTCATTTTATTTCATTCTCTAAAAGGGAGAAAGAGGAGTGGAGGGACCACTTGGGCCAAAAGGTGAAAAGGGTGACAAGGTAAACATTTGAGTAGAAACGTTGTGCAGCCGACCACCATAGCGTAGAAACAGATTGATCCTCCTGCTTCAGTGATGGAGGCCCTGTTATAAAGTGATTAGCTTCAGTGAACATGCTGCCTCTTGCCATAGGGTGAAGTTGGTCAAAGGGGACCTCCTGGGATTCCAGGAAATGTAAGTCCAATTCCAGACGTTCCATTTGCAACTTTGCCTTCCTCCGTTTGAAGCTGTAGAGATTTTTACATATTGTCTTCGTAGGTTGCAGAAGTCATCCCTGAGCCTGGGGAACCCGTACGTAGAACGTTTGTTTCACTTGTACACATGAAAAGATCAATAGTTTGTAGAAGTCTTTGTTTTTGCTCATGCTAAAATTCAGAAAGTGTACGTATTAAATGTGCTTATGTCACTCTCTTCTGTTGCAGGGTAAACCTGGAGGGAAAGGAGAAAAAGGGGATCAAGGAAAACAGGGAGAGACGGTAACTTCAGTCTCACCATTTCTTCTATTTCCTTTTCATGATGAATAATTAAAAAACATGAAAAATAAAATTGGCAATGCGTACAATAGTCCACTAGATGTCAGTAGAGGTCAGAAGGAAATCCAGAAGACGTCCTCGAGGTTTTCTGCTTAAAATTCAATTATATGAAATAATGTTTAAATGGATAAAAAAGATGTTTTTCATCTTTGGGACCTTTATTGGTTTAACATTTTTATTTTTTATCATAATAATCATTGCACCAAAGATGGTTTTGAAACAAGATTTTGAATCGATTTGACTTCATGTGTCTTATCTCAGGGGGAACGAGGGTTACCTGGTGAACAAGGCTTTAGAGGACTGCCGGGACTACCTGTAAGAATATTATAATACTTTTGTATTAGAAGTAATTTATTTTAAGTGTAAAATACCAAACAAGCTGTTTTAATTTCAGGGTCCAAAGGGAGATACTGGCCTCACAGGGGAGATGGGTCGTGTTGGAGACCCTGTAAGTGGTTCACTTTAAATAGAGTCTTAGTCGTACTTCAGGAGTGAATTAATGAGTGAAACAATAATACGTTTTATGCTTTTATCAGGGTCCACCTGGTGCAGCAGGTTCTCAGGGCCCCCAAGGATTACCAGGAAATGCGGTGGGCATTTGTTTTTCTTTCTTCTTTTATGCTGGATAAAAGCATCCATAATCTATAATCTTGTTTGCACTCGTTGATCCGGCTCAAAGTTCCAGGTGAACCCACCTTATTTGTTTTTTAGGGCATCCCAGGAATCATAGGCCCTCCTGGTCCAATTGGGCAACGAGGAGACAAGGTCAGCCATCCCTTTTGCATTTTTGAACTCTCCCAGGCCATATTACAGCAGAACAGAGTAACATGTGCATGGCGTCTGTTACTGTGCATATCAGAATTAGTTTCAGTATTACCACAGATCTTCACATTCCAGATTTAAAAGCACTTCACATGTTTCTTTTTTCCATTAGAATTTCTTCCCTCTTAAATTTCAGCCCAAGATTTCAGCGTTTGACCTAGATGCACAGCAGGATTGATATTTGTGATGTGGTCCCATGTGCTGTCTACAAACACAAGCAATTTGACTTTAATTTGGAATAAATTTATCATAAAAAGTGGAGATAAAAATGTAAAAAGGTTCATAAATCAAGCGAGTCTGCTCTAAATCTGGTTGCAGCAATGAAAACCAATCATTTTGGTTCTATTTTTTCCTAAATGTGTCATTTAGGGTGAAGCAGGCAAACCAGGACAATTAGGACCTATAGGCCCACCAGGAGAGCCCGGTTTGATTGGACCTCCTGGACCACCAGGGAAAGGAAAAGATGGACAAAGAGTAAGAAATGATGGATGAATGAATAGATGATAGATGAACAGATGAATGAATGGATGTATGATTGATGGATGGATGATGGATGGATGAACATATGGATGGATAGACAGATGAATGGGTGAATGGTGGATGGATGGACAGATGGATGATGAATGGATGAACAATGAATGGATGGACAGATGAATGGATGAATGATGGATGGATGGATGGATGGATGAATGATGGATGGATGGACAGATGGATGATGGATGGATGGATGAATGATGGATGGATGGATGGATGGATGGACGGATGGACAGATGGATGGATGAATAAATGGTTGAAGAATGGACAGAAGGATGATGGATGATGGATGGATGAACATATGGGTGGATAGACAGATGAATGGATGAATGGTGGATGGATGGACGGATGGATGGATGAATAAATGGTTGAAGAATGGACAGAAGGATGATGGATGGATGAACATATGGGTGGATAGACAGATGAATGGATGAATGGTGGATGGATGGATGATGGATGGATGAATAAATGGTTGAAGAATGGACAGAAGGATGATGGATGATGGATGGATGAACATATGGGTGGATAGACAGATGAATGGATGAATGGTGGATGGATGGACGGATGGATGGATGAATAAATGGTTGAAGAATGGACAGAAGGATGATGGATGATGGGTGGATAAACAGATGAATGGATGAATGGTGGATGGATGGATGATGGATGGATGAATAAATGGTTGAAGAATGGACAGAAGGATGATGGATGATGGATGGATGAACATATGGGTGGATAGACAGATGAATGGATGAATGGTGGATGGATGGACGGATGGATGGATGAATAAATGGTTGAAGAATGGACAGAAGGAGGAAAGATCTCGAAGGCTGCTTTTTGGTTGAGCAGCTCAGTGGATGACCCAAAGAAAAGGATCTCACTCTTCCTCTGGTTCAGTTTGAGAACGTTTCTGCCCGCACATCTTTAAAGCAGTCTAACAAATTCTGAGAGCGAGGGACACTATTCACTAGTATTGATACATAGATCTGCAGGTCATCCCCATAGATATTTAACAAAATCCCATACTTTCTGAAAACTTGCCCAGTGGTTGCAAATATAAAGAGAAGAGTAACGGACCCAGGACTGAACCCTGGGGTACCCCAAAGTCCATCAATAACACGGATGATGAGTATTTGCCAAGGTGTACCAAAAACGTTCTCCCTGGGAGATGCGACTGGAACCATCCAGAGGGATGCATCACAAATGCACCAAGAATTCAGTGTTTGGACACGTTTTGCTAGTGGGGGGGTGCATTTTAACTTTTCTTTCTAGCATGTCTTAATGTGTTCAGCTAAAGTAAACGGGTACACACTCCTGTGTGATTCAGGCAGCGTGCTTTAAAACGCTCTAGTATTCTTGCACTGCTTAGAAGTGGGCAGCACTTTATGTCATCTCTCCAGATGTGTTCGCCTTCGTGCAGACCCTTTTCAACTCTGAGCTCTGTATGGGATGGATGCTCTTGGGGTCCTCTCAGTCCAGCCATCTTAATAATGTTAGATTAACTTAATTAGAAAAGATGCAAGGATTTTTCGGCATCCTTTCTCTAGCAACGTCTAATTTCAAAAAAACTGCGAGCAGGAGGTTGTGTTGGATCCACACCGAGAGGTTGGACTTGTGCCATGTCCTTCACACAATTCTGTCTGAGCTGTCGCAGGAATTCACATTTCCACTAGTAAATCCTCCTAAATCTGTGACATAAGGCTAAGAGGACAGCCTCAGTGTTTTTAGCTTATTGTGATTGCTGCAGCAAGACCCTCACATTTTATTGTGGTTACATGTCTTAGTGGGTTTTTTATATCTTATGAGTTTTGTTACGTTTTTACTCAAACTTTCATTTCTATATGGAATAACTATGATGCAGGCGAATAGCGAACCAGCCTGAAACTTGAACAGCTTTGGTGTTAGAAGGCTATTTTTAACACCTTGTAGACGATTAATTCTAATTCACATCAAACCATTTCTGGCCTAAAAGCCTCCAGATGGATTTTCAGGATTAGTACCTTCATCGTTGAACCACCATACCCAGTCTTATATACATCTACTGCCCTCTAGTGGATGATCTATAGGTGGCACGGGCCAGTTAGTTTTCTGTTTGCCTATTACTTGCTAAAGGCACGTGATGGGGTCCCTCGGGAAATTCTGGGGGGAGGGGTACTCCGAGAGAATGGGGTACCAGGCCCCTCTTGCCACCCACACTAGCATGGACTCACTCCCCTCTGCCCTCCCCAGCCTGGACTGCCTTAGGAAAGCAGACGTGATCGAGCACATGCACATTGTTAAACCGTTTTGGTGGTCTAAGGATCAGGACTCTGCTTTCTGCAGATGATGTGGTGCTGTTGGCCTCGTCAGACAGCCGAATGGAAAGGAGCTGGGATGAGAATCAGCTCCTCTGAATCTGAGACAGAAAAGGGTAGAATGCCGTCTCCGGGTCAAGGATGAGGTCCTGCCTCAAGTGGAGGGGTTTAAGTATCTCGGGGTCTTGTTCACGAGTGAGGGGAAGCTGGAGCGGGAGATCGACAGGTGCATTGGTGCTGCGTCTGCAGTGATGCAGGCGTTGAACCGGCCTGTCGGGGTGAAGAGAGAGCTGAGCTGGAAGGTGAAGCCGTAGATTTACCGGTGGATCTACGTTCCTACCCTCACCTATGGTGGTGAGGGTTGGGTTGTGACTGAAAGAACGAGAAGCAACGCAACAGTTCAATTACAAAATGTGTTGTTTTTTAAACCTCAGGGTATTATAATTTTATCTGATATGATCTCTTTAGACTCTTTGTATTCAACACTTCCTGTTGGTGAACTTTCCTTTCCTGGTTGAGCCACCAGGTAACAAGCAGCGGCACACAAGCGTAGACAGAAAACAAGCCTGAGTTCTTAGGCTCTACTTCTCAGCTACTGGTGATGCAGGAGCAAACAGGGAACACAGTAAGACATGTCCCATTTAACAGCGAGTGCAGCAGATGGTGCTTACAGGAGTTGTGTTGTTCTACTGCTGCCAGTAACCTCTGGCAGCTCCAGGAGCCCTCGCCACAGCCGTGTGCATGAACAAAACCGCAGCAGCCAGCATTCTCTAATCCCAGGCTAATCACTGGAACCAGGTGCAGTCGCTGCATTCTGCTAGCTGGCCGTCTGATCATGTTTGCTTGTTACAGGGAGAGGCAGGACCACCGGGGATTCAAGGACCACCTGGAGTGAAGGTATTGCTGTTCAGAGGTTTTCTTGAAATTTCAAGGCTGCATGAGGTTCCACCTTTTATTTTAAACACTTGAAAACATCGTTGTGGTACAGATGAATTTGTGCAGGTCTATGGATGATGCTGAGTTTCTATGTGCCACTGTAATGTGAGAATGTTGATGCTATTGGGAGCAGTTACTGAATTTAGTGTCAAATTGCTTACCCACGTCATTTTCTCTTTCAAGAGCCAACAATGGCCTCATGGCACATTAAGCTTTGTTGTTTCCTTCATCACAATTTTAATACAAAGTCATCTTTCCAGATTTATTAGTCGTTACTGGAAACACGTATTACAATCATAACCAAACATCACAACCAACATGTGGTATTCAAGAAGAATTAGAAGTAATTTTGCTTTTGCGTCCTCCCAGGGCCAACCCGGACCTCGAGGGCAGCCCGGGTTACCAGGGGACCAGGGACCTGCTGGTGAAGGGAAGGAGGGGGCACCGGTATGAAGTCTGTTGAAACCTAAAATTATCCTCCCCATTCACCTGTTTACATCTCACCATGCTGTTCTTTCCAGGGGCCTCCAGGGAAAAATGGGGAGCAAGGCCCTTCAGTAAGTCCTCATCCAGTTGAAAATTACTACAAAGTATATCCTTGATTGTTTTTCAGTGTGTTTTTCTGGGTTTCAGGGTTTGAGGGGTCCGCCAGGACTTCCTGGTCCTCTGGGTCCAGCAGGGCACAATGTAAGTATGAAACTAGCAGCTTGACCATTAGTATGTAAGTTGTTGCAAAATATTTATACTCGCTGATATTTTGTTAAATACATATGTGATCTACAGAAGATGGAAAGTCCAACTTGTTTCATTTGTTTCTAAACTCAGGGTTTGCCAGGGCGGCCCGGAGAGAAGGGGTCGCCTGGAGAGCCTGTAAGTATGCAAATAGGGTTTGGAGTGTATTTTGTTTTTCACAGCAATCCCATGTTTGTTCAGTTTTTCTGGTACATGAAAGTTCAAGCCAAGTACACACATAGCCGAGCATTTGTTAAACCATATATGTCCTCAGGCCAACTACGAAAATAAAACGTGGGTCCACACCACCTCGTTTTGAGCACAAACATCCGGTGCACCGTGCAGCTCGTTCATAACCATGCCAAACCTGTAGGTGGCAGCAGTTCCCCAGTTCGTGGGCCCCCCCAAGGTGGTGGGCAATAACCTTTCTTAACATTGTCATCCGCTTCTACATAGAGCGGTAATGGAGCTTGTAAAATAAGTGTGTGTAAACACGGGTCGCACCTGTGATGTCACAGCATTTTTGTCATGGCAGTAACTGACCAAATGGTAGACAGTCGACTACGTGGGCATAGGGCCTGATCGATGACTGCATACATATACAGTAAACCTGTAGGTTTCTGATTTGAAGCCCAGTGGGCGGTTCCAACCAGTAGAACATCTATCAGCAAGTTTGACCCGTTAGCAACTTCCAGGAGCCACATTGCTACTCAAGTCATTTCTTTTCATGCAAAAGCAAATAGAGAAACGTCCTTGATTTATTCACATTAGCTTTTCTATGTGGAATTGTTGATAAATATCATAAACAATGAATATAAATGGGAAACAAAAACATAGCAGTTAGTGATCGGTGGGAAGTGGCTTTAATTCGCTGTCTGAAGGAAGCATGCAGCACGCAGGAATCACGCCACCGTAACACTGCGTAGACTTCCAGATCTACCACACTCGGAGACAGTCAGGTCATTTTTTTATCCAGAAATATTTTTGGACAAAACACAGAATTATCACAGAATGTAAACCCCCCCACCAATATTACTGTCCTGACAAAGGTCTTTACTGTTTGCTAGGGCAAGTCAGCAGATATTTCTGACTTGGATCTGAAGGTGAGTCGCCTCCTCACGACAGCAGTGATAAAATAACAACTGCTTCATCAATAACCACGTTTGTTACGTCTGTAGGGTGTTTGCTCAGACTGCCCTGCAGGTCCACCTGGGCCACCTGGACTGCCAGGAGTCCCTGGAGAAAAGGGACACCAGGGCACCCCTGGGAAAGATGGACAAGATGGGTACCAGGTAGACATCTCAGTGTTATTAGCTCCCTGCCTCTTGTGTCTGTTCCAGTCATTCTTTGTGTCTGTAATATAAAGTTTATCTGCTCTTTGTGACAAATGGAGTCCAAGCCTCAGCTTCATTGGTAGGGAGCTATAACAGAGGATGAGTCTGTGTGTGCATCATCAGCTGGGCTTCCTCTAGGGGCTGTGGGGAACTATCAGGGCCTGCTAATGGTGCTCAGCACTATCAGCCCTGGCACAGACTGATGGTTTGCTGTTCCATTGCAGGGTCCATCTGGGCCCCCAGGACCTCCTGGGTCTCCCGGAGGTGATGGAGTAAAGGTAAGCTGATGTAGCAGCTTCAGCCTGTACTGAACAAAAGTACTAACTCTATAAGTAACAGTGTTGTTGAGTCAGACACAGACATTATCCTTTTTTGTGAAACTTCACACTTAAATCGTCTTGAGAAATGACTCGTTGTTAATTCAGCCGCTCCTCTTCTACCACAGGGCATAAAGGGGGACCAAGGCCCTGCTGGGAGTCCTGGGGAAAAAGGAGAAAAGGTATGGATGCCGTTGACGTTAGAGTCACCCTTCCTCGTTTAGCTCATCTCTACAGCAGTGTCAGCTGTTGTGAATTGTGCCATTGCATTTTAGTTTCTGTTGAATTACAGGGCCACTCTGGACCCCCTGGTCATCCAGGTCCTTCTGGTTTAATGGGCACACCTGTAAGTAGTCTGTTGGCTTTTGGAAGTGAAATCAACTCATTTTAGTCCAGACATTTAAGCCTTTTGTAAATAGTAGTCATTTGTTTAGCCCCAACGCCATTCCCGTTGACCTCCACTGACACAGCCTCTTTCCCCCTCAGGGCAATGATGGACAACCTGGTCCTGCTGGACCCCCAGGGCTCCCAGGAGAAAAGGTCAGGCTGTATTTGGCATATTTCCCCTTGCAAAGCCCATAATTGATATGACATTCAGTACCAGCCCCCTTCCACATTAGTGGGCCGGCCAGTGTTCACTGTGAAACCAGTTAATAAGCATCAGGAAAAAACTAAAACAAATGAATCAAATAAAGAATACAATTCAAATATAAAAAAGTGATCATTTCATTTATGTGATACTTCACTTCTTTCCTTTCACACCCTACAGGGCAAAGAGGGTCTCAAAGGAATCCAAGGACCGCCTGGTCTCCCTGGCTTAATAGTGGGAGCAAATATTTGATTCGGAACAATGTGAAAGTCAACGTTTGCAAAAGTCACAGATGCTGAATAACGATTTATTTAAATATGCAGGGTCAGCCGGGGAAAATGGGCAAAGATGGCCGACCAGGGGAACCAGGAGAAGCTGTAAGTAGAGAGATGATTGATGGGAACCTGGATCAGAGCAGCAAACATAGAAAACGTCTCATTTATCTATCAGATTTGCAAAAGATTAAAATCACACTTGTGTTAGTTTTACCACATAGATGATGATATTGTGTCAGTTACCATTCTGGTTATTAAAATAGAATATTAGTAATTATTTACCTGATCTTTTCACGAGAGCCGAGGATCTTTAAAGGTCATCAGAAACTGGTCAGTCACATTTTAATGCTGTGAAACATTAATTTAGATAAAATCATCATTTTAGATGAGCTCAAAATCACCTAAACCCATCATTCATGACTCAGGCTACGTGTCAATCTTCTGCTGTTGGTTGTAGTTGTAATGAGAGAAAGAGAGAATAGTTTATGGGCTGCTTGTGCAGAGCCCACACGTAGCTCTAACTCTTAGCTCTTATGGTTGTATGGTCCAGGCGTGAGCCGTGAGAGTTAGACTCAGGTCAAAGCAGAAGGTACCTTCTACCAGTGGGCCAGCACAAGTAGCAGTACAACGATGTGCGTGATCAAATCCTTTAGGCTTTCAGTAACCGACCATCAAAAACTACTCCATTCACTACACAACACTAATTACATTTGACATGATAATTTACACATTTTCTTTCCTAGGGTAAGCAAGGAGAACCTGGGCCTCCAGGAAACCCTGGACTCCGGGGACTTCCTGTAAGTAAGCAGCAGACATGGACTCTGACAGAGAAAACATCAACAGAGCTGACCATCTCCGTTTCCCTGCTTCCCTTCTATTCCCAGGGGTTCAAAGGGCATCGAGGAGAAGCTGGAGTTCCAGGAAGCAAGGTCAAGTGAATTTCATTTATCGGCCACTTCTGGCTTTAAAGCATCCAGTTAGAGGATTAGGATTAGTACTTTCACATAAAACCGCACCCAGTCCTGTGTCTGTCTACTGCCCACTGGTGGAAGATCTGTTGATGGCAAGGACCAGTTTTTTTTATTACTTTTAACTTGTTACATCATTTAACAAACAAATCATTATATAGGTGCAGTGGTAATAATATTAAAGGATAAATAGATGCGTTTTCAAAACTAGAATCGTATTAATGTCTCATATTTCAGGCTTTAGATGGTCAAAACTAGAAAATACATAATTTCTCCTTGTAAAGAAGATGAGGTAGAATGTTCTGTTTTAGCCAAACTCGGCTATTTTAGCCATATTTTCATGTCCTTTTTAAAAGCTGATGCTTTATATGGGCGATGGCCCGCTTTTAGGTTATAAATCACAGTCTAGCTTTCAGGAAGATGCACACCTGGCTCAATCACACACAGCCTCCGTTAGCAGGAGGCAGGACGTACAATACAAAAATGCAGCTCTTCTCCTTCGGTTAGAAAGTTTGTGCACAGTAGCACGCCTCATGACTGACAACGCTTTATGAGCCACGGCCAGGCCGGTGGGCCCTGACGCCCAGAGCTGCCACGCTGCTGTGCTGACAGCTTGTCTGGCGTTAACCGTCTGACCCACAGCATACAGAATCAACTCAGAGTCAGGAGGATGGGTGAGAAAAAACAATCATTTATCAGTCCCAACTAAAGGAGCACCGCAAAAGGCAGGTGATGATTAGCTCAGTTCTTTTAGTCCAAAATCCTGGGGCTCAGAGTTCGGGGTAAGGGAGGAGGGGAGAGGAGGGTCCGGTTGGCAGGTGAGTGGCAGGAGGAGCGCGGGACAGGGTGAATCCTCGGAGCCCTGAGAGGGGGGTGCAGAGGTGGCGGAGAGCTGGTCGGTCAGGAGAGGCTGGAGCGGGAGACAGGCGTGGATCCGTGACTTATGGCAGGTTCTGTAGGTGGAGGCTCAACCTGAAGGAGAGGGAGAAGCAGGGTGAGGTTACGCGGGATGAAGCTCGGAAGACGAGAGTCAGAAGATGAAAGGCTCGTGACACTCGGGTAGCTCTACCAAGATTGAGTAATCATCCAGCGCCGAGGTGCGTCTCCCTGCTCCTTAAGAGGCCTCCTGATGAGTGGCTCTCCGGTCCCGCCCATCTGCACTCAGACAGAAGGAGAGTCAGGTGTGTTCACTCACCTCCAACCGACAGTTAGAGAAAGTGTACAGTGTTGTCACAGACACCAGCAGTTAGCTTGCTCTGCTTATCATTAGTCTCTAACTGTCAGCCGGATGGAACCGTGACCCACCTTCAGTCAGGCAGGTGGAGGTGAGTGCAGAGCACCCAGAGGAGCTCGTTGAAATGCATCTACCAGCAGGGCTCTAAAGACCACTTCTGAGGGTTTACTTTCTCTGTCGCTGCTCCGTCATCTACTGATGGGATGTTTATAACCTCTGCCTCGTGCAGTTACAGTGCTGAGATCATGTCTGAAGTGTTGGTTCATCGGCTCAGTCATGAGTCTGTAACTTGATCCAAACCACACATGGTTTTCTTGGCTAGCTCTATAGAGAAGCAAGAGCCCTCACCCCAGCAGCTCTCGTCCTCATTGATCCGTTACTTTACTCATTCAGATCACTTGTTGTCTTTTTGAAATTGCTGTCTTTGAACGGCAGTCACGCTTGAGACTGTGCTTCAGGCGGGCTCTGTCTTTAGTTCCAGTTCACAACAAAGTCAGCTCCAGGTTCTTACACAGACCAACAGATCCAGCTCATGTCAGATCTAGAGTCAGAGCGATTGTAGGAACTAAAGTAAATAAAATCTGTGATCAAATTGGAATTAATAGATGATAAAATACCAGTAAAATGTGCCCTCTGTAAGGGAACCAAGAGATTCTACTGAATCGTCACCTCCGTGCTGCCACTCTGAGCAAACACAGCAACACTGGCCCACAAGGAGTGACTCGTTTTATAGAGGAGCAAACCTGCAGCAGACGTGGGCTCGGGATGGGCAGCACTCTGTTCCAGCCAACTGAGAAGGCAGGGAAGAGTCAAACATAGGAGGGATAGACCTCTCGTCACTTCTACAGCAGCTGAAGAGCGAAAACAAACTCACCAGCTGGATGCTGTTCCACAAAAGAGGGCTCTGCCTGTCATTCTAGCTTTATAAGCTATAGGAGCCACAAGCAACCTGCAGCCTGAAAGCCTCCTGACTAACCCCGCCCAGAGAGTGAGAGCAGGCCCTCACATCTCCGCAGACCTTAACCTGAACATCGGCTCTTCCCAGGGTTGTGTGCTTTAAACCCTCTACACACACACGACTGCAGCCCCGCACATTCTAGCAGCGCAGCCATCACGTTTGCTGATGATACTGCTGTTGTGGTGCTCTTCTCTGGTGGGGATGAGTCTGCTTATCGAAATAAGGTGGAGCAACTGTTGGTGTGGTGCCGCGACAACAACCTGGCTCTGAATGCCTCCCAGACCGAGGACTTGGTCATAGACTTTAGGAGGAAGAGAAAAATAGAAAGTCAGCACTTGCTTATCCGGGGGAACAGGTGGAGAGGGTGGCAGACTTCCGATCTCTGGGCGTCTACGTGGAGCAGGAGTTAACACCACGGTTATCATCAAGAAGGCACAGCAGAGATGGTACTTTCTGAGAGTTCTCAGAAAGTACCATCTCTGCTCAGAAACGATAGCGTCCTTCTATGGTTGCTCTACAGAGAGCATCCCGACTTACTGTCTCCGTGTGTGTGGTTTGCCAGCTGCACGGTAGCAGGCAGAAAGGTGCTCCAGAGGATTGTTAATGTGGCCCAGAAAATCATTTGCTGCCCTCTCCCCACCCTGGAAGACCCGTCCAGTTAGGCGGGCCAACAGCATTCTCAGGGACTCGTCTCCACCAGGTCACTCACTCTTTGAAATGCTGCCCTTGGGCAGAGGTGTGAGGTCACTAGCACGGACAGGTAGACTAAAACAGCTTTTACGCAAAAGCAATAATGGCATTAAATACAATAATCTCTATCCCTCTCCTATTGCTTAATATTGAATTGTGCACGATGAAAGGAACGTGCCTGTTGTGTACACGTGGCATGTGTTATTTATTTTTTTAATTAACTTATTTTTAACTAGGTTCTACTTTTAATGTTTTTTACTATTATTATTTTTTATGCTCCTTAGGAGAGACTACTTTCATTTTTTGTTGTACTTGTGCAATTACAAAGGCCTTCGTTCGTTCAAGTGCTGTGTTGGGAATATTTGGAACGAGATTTTTAACATCGGATGGATCGTTCACAACTTTAGAAGTCAAAAGTAGAAATTTGCATTCAGTTCTGGATTTTAGGATGAAGTGATGCATAAACATGGAAACTGTGATCTCTGCACCTATTTCCCATCAAAACTCTCGCAGCAGCATTCTGGTTGTAACATGATCATAAAGAGCAGCTCTAGTTTTGATTAGACTCAGATTTGTTTAGTAGAACACAAGAAAGTGTTTTCATGTTTAGTCTTTGTGTTTTGTGGTGTACTCCTGCAGGGTGAAGATGGAAAGCCTGGATCACCGGGTCGAGACGGCAAACCTGGAGTAGAGGTATTGGTGATCCACAGGTTTAGGAACGTTATAACATTGTTACCAGTGGCACAGAAGTCCAATTCAAGTTCATAGCTCATCATTTAAAGCGGACATTTGATGCTAAACTCACCTTTTGCATCTGTTTATGCTGCTGTGTGGGACTCTACTGCTTCTATACACACTCCAAATGTGAAAAATAACGGTCTTTCCATGTTCTGTCAGTGTTTGGTTTTAGGAATTATCTGCCTAAAATGATCATCGACTATTGCAATTCACTTCTTTATGGTCTTCCCAACAAACTCCTTCATAAACTGCAAATGGTCCAGAACTCAGCAGCCCGTATTATCACCAGAACCCCTTCCTTTAACCACATCACCCCGGTTCTCCAGCAGCTTCACTGGCTCCCAGTTAAAGTCAGGTCCATCTTCAAAATTCTCCTCCATACCTTCAAAGCAATCCACAACCTCTCTCCTCCATATATCTCAGACCTTATAAGTATTCACACCCCGTCCCGTTCACTCAGATCTTCTTCTTCCATCCATCTTGCGGTTCCTTCTGCCCGTCTCGCTACCATGGGGAGCAGAGCTTTCAGCCGCTCTGCTCCTCGACTCTGGAACTCACTTCCCCCAGACATCAGGAACGTCGACAGTTTTACCCTTTTCAAAACAAAACTCAAAGCACACATGTTTAAATCTGCCTACGACCTCTGATTTTATTGAACTGTTTCTCTCTTTGTTTTTTCTTGTTTGGGTTTTATTACTGTTTTATTGAATTTTATCACGTGTTTTCTGTAAAGTGACCATGGGTGTCCTGAAAGGCGCTTTTAAATAAAATGTATTATTATTATTATTATCAATTTTAATAGGTCCCCATTTGTGACATCACAAATGGAGAAGTGGAATAGAGCCACCCCTTACAGGCTACAGAGATGCTGCTGAGCGGAGCAGCCACTCTACTCTGAGCCCCTCCCGGGTATTGAAGCTTTTTAGCATAAAACAGTTTGAGTGGGGGAGGGGTGGGCATGGCCATCTCCAGCTTGTTTTTTTTTAATTCTGGGATGGACTGAAACAGTCAAGAATAAAACTGCTGTATAGGAGCGGGATTGAGTGCAAATAACTTCATGAACACATTTTGAATCAACTATAGAACTATTGTAACAACATAAGAACAAAGTTATAATATGCCCCAGTTAAAGGTCATTTATGTTCTTTATAAAAATATGACCAGTCTCCTCTTGTCATGGTCTGTGTCTGCGTCTCCCTCGTGTGTCTCCTTGTGTTCCTCGTGTGTCTCCTGGTCTTCAGCCCTCCAGATATCTCTCCCAGGTCCTGTGTTCCTTCAGTCTTCCCCAGTCACCCCTCTGCAGGTTTTATAGTTTCAGCTTTTCATGTTATTAGTCTCTTTAGTGTGTTTTCTCCCACCGGTGTTTGTAGTTTTCCTTCCCCTTAGAATATTAGTTATGTGGTTGCTTTCTTGTTTTTAGGTTTTACTCTTAGGTCAAGTTAGTTTCCTCCCTTATTAGTCATTGCTTTCACCTGGTCCTCCCCCCACACACCTGCAGCTCATCTGCCTCCCTGTATGTCCCAGTGTATTTAAGCCCTGTCTTGTCTCTGTGTCTGGTTGGAACTCCAGCACAGTAGGTGGCGGAAATGCACCTAGAAGTTAGATGCCACCCGCCAATAAACAAGAAGAAGAAGAAGACGTGTCTTGTCGGCCCATTGTTGTTAGTCAGCGTTGTTTCTGGTGCTCTGTGTGAGCTTTGTGTCTTGTCCCAGGTTTTTGTGCTCTAAGTGAGCTTTAGTTCTAGTTCTCAGGTTTTTGTGCTCTAAGTGAGCTTTAGTTCTAGTTCTCAGGTTTTTGTGCTCTAAGTGAGCTTTAGTTCTAGTTCTCAGGTTTTTGTGCTCTAAGTGAGCTTTAGTTCTAGTTCTCAGGTTTTTGTGCTCCATGTGAGCTTTCGGTGTCCTGGATCTCAGGACTTTTGGATTTACTTTTGTTCATCCTGCAGTAAAGGGATTTTGCTTTATATCAACTCCTGCCTCTTTTGCTCTGGGTGATCTGCACTTTGGGTCCTACCATCCCCACAACGTGACACCTCTCAAAGTATTCATCTCTTTTTTAACCCAAATTATGCATAATATTGTGTTTATTAAATGAATAACTTTCCCTAAAATCACACACACACACACACACACACACACACACACACACACACACACACACACACACACACACACACACACACACACGTGTGTAATTTTTCCATTTGATGTATTTATTTCATTTCAACACTTGTAATTACAACACGTCCAGTAAACCAAGTTAAAAATATAAAATTTTTACCAAAAGTTTTATAAGTTAAACCAGCGGGCGTTGGAAGAGGGAGCAGGAAGGAGAAATGGCATGGAGCGTGTAGGGCCTCAGAGTGGCAAATATCTGGGGTCACATTTAAAATAAATTATGAATTTTCTGCATTGTACTGTTTCTAAAAAAAGCTTTAATTGTTTATCTTATCCCGTCCTTGACGAAGGAACAATGCTTCCAACATTTCATTACCAGAACCTTCACTCTCACAAGCACTGGACAGAAACCTCAGACATGAAAAGGCTGCAACACCTTCCTGGTGCTGGTAACAGACTCACCCAAAGGCATCGTTTGCCAAACTTGCCCCGGGCTTTTCAACTAATACTGCAGCAACCTGAGCTCTAATTATTGATTTCATGCACACGAAGATATGATCATAGAGGAAAGGATGAAAACAGGGTTATTTATTTATTTATTTATTTATTTGTGTTTGCAGGGCCCTAAGGGACTTCCAGGGCCAGATGGACTCACTGGACACAGAGGAGAACCTGTGAGACCTTATTTGTTTTACTAGATGGACACAAGCAGCAGGCAGAGGCAGCACAGCACCAAGCAGGCAGATCGATAAGGGCGATAAACACAAGTGCAGTGTTTTCTCACTCAGCTTTTGCTTCTGTTTTACATTTCAGGGCAAGCCTGGAGAACCAGGACCATCAGGAAAATCCGGTCTCCCCGGCACACCGGTGAGTTGAGTTTCTGTGTAAGAATACTTATTCGTAGTAATCATAATCGTAAAACCTCAAAAAGGTTGAAACGAGAGCAATCTAGGAACTCGGACTTCAGTTTGGGAATTGGGAGACCAGAGACGTGACACGGACATACAAAACAAAGTCAACAGCAGTAATAGTTGTCAACACAAACATGGACAGGAAAGACAAAAGTGCTGTAGCTGAGCCTGTAACAGTAAAATACCTGAGTTGAGTTTTCAGGAGTTTTCCCTGCAAAGTTTTATTATCGACACGATGCAAAGTTAGCAAATAATCTACATGAGGCACTGCAGTGGAAACGCAGCTTTATTTTGGATAACGAGATTCTTCTAAGATGTGGTGACAGTATGCCACATGTGAGTCGTGCCTCTACTGTCACTCAGGGTCAAAGAGGAGACAAAGGAGAACCTGGCAACCCAGGATTACCGGGTTTCAGCGGGCCGAAGGGACCAGCGGTGAGTGTTCAATATTTAAGCTTTTGTTTCAGTTTGAAAAAATCATTTGTTTTCACTTCGATTTCCAGGGTCCACCTGGTCCCTTTGGCCCAGAGGGAAAACAGGTGAGAACTTCTAAAGAGCTCGGATGATTTGTATAAAATAAATGTAAAAACATTCCTTGCTAATTTCTTCGTATCGGTCTTGTTTTGTAGGGAGTGCCAGGCAGAGCTGGTGATCGTGGTCTCAAAGGAGAGAAGGTGAGCACCTCAGCTGTAGGTTAATGTCAGTCTTACTTAAACTCACTTTGCTCTAGTAAACATGTTTATTAACCAAGAATCGGACAAAAACAAGTAGAA